CCCCCCGCGGCGGGGCGCCGAGCCGCACCGAGCGATCCCGGCCATGCTCCAACTCTTGGACTGCCGCTGCTGCTGGGAGCCGAGCCACGCTGCGCTCAGACAGCGGCGGTGGCGAGGGAAGTCCAGAAGTCCGAGCATGGCCGGGATCACCTGCCGTGGCTCAGCTCCCAGCAGCGGTGGCGGGGGACCTCCGGAGGCCTTCCAGGGCTTCTCCACCACCATGGGAGGCATCTCGGAGGGCCCCCCCCAGCCACCGCCAACTGTGCTTCGGAGGCACAATCGGCGGCAGCGGGGGGGACCTCCAAGATGCCCCCCATGGCGGTGGAGAAGCCCTGGAAGGCCTCCAGAGGCCTACGGACCGGAAGGGGGGGCGGGGAAACTGTCAAATTCTAATTCAAATCTGGCGCTTTCCACGTCTCCCCCTTCTGGTCCGTAGGTTAATTCTCTGGCCGCAAGTCCGTAACTCGAAAAGTATGCAAGTGGAGCCATCCATAAGTCAAAGGTCCACTGTAGTGAATAGTGCAATGTCTTTTCCATCACCACTATTTAAGTGTTCTGGTGTGAAAGTCTTAGAATTTGGTGCCCACACTTGCAATATACTGCCTATACCTCTTCCATACCATAGAGGCTGGCTACCTACACATCATAAAATGTGCTTGATGATTTAAGGAAAATTTAACTATTATAGTTTGACAGAATCACAGCATTCAAAATGAAGATACTACCCACTATAAATTTTCTCTCTGATGGTACTGATACAAATTAATGAGGAAAAGTTAAGGTTTGATTAATACATTTTGTGATGGAGATAAAAAGTCAAGGATTAGCAAGAAGAAATGGCCAGAAAGTTGAAGGGTTGGGGCTTTCCAATTTAAGGCTACACTGTATAGCCAAACAAAGGACTGAATGAGAATTTATTGGTAAAGAGACATGTTATTGGAATAAGGGATTGGTTAGAAAAGAATGAAGAGCAAATAAAATAAATGACCAGTACAGTTAAAATATCTTGGTATAATACTTTTTCAACTAGAGCAGTTGAAAAAGTTATAAAATTATTTTTATAAGTTAGTTTGATTATGGTACTGAAATCCAGTGAAATTAAATTAGATGGGAGTTATTCTAAGATGTGCTGGAGAGGGTGTGAGAAAGTTGGTATTTATTTTCATATGTGGTGAAAATGTATTGAAAATTTGAAAAAAATGAAATAAGCAAGCTAAACTTACTTGTATGTCCTAAAATAGCACTTTTATCAATATCACTAAAATCATACAAAAATCACTAAAATCATAATGGTGAAACAAAGGTATTGTATGCTATAGGAAAGTCTGGGACATAGCTATCAATGATAAGCTTACATGTAATATGGAAGTTAAAAGGGGGGAAACAGGCAAAGGTGAATTAGATATATGGGGAGAATTATCTTGTATTGATAAAGGAGAAGAGGCAAAGCCTATTTCAAGAGTCAGTGCAATTCTGGAAGGGAGATGGGGCTCCATAAGGATTAATGGTATAGGTTGTTACTCCCAAATGTTCCCAGTGGGGGTATGGCACTGTGCATTTAGATATCTGTTTATTAGATTTTCTTTTTCTGTTTGCTTTTGATTTGTTTGCTTCTTTTTGTATAATTAAAAAAAATTAAAAAGAGACATTGCACCTCCAAAAAGGAAAAAGAAATTGCATGGAATTTGCTTATGCCTCTGTCTTGCTCCAAACATTACTAGTTATTATCATCCAGACATTAGATTAGGCCTGTCCCGTTAAATTAGATTTAAATGAAATTCAAAGTAGACAGGATCCATGATGCGCTTCAAGGATTTTTGAATGAGATATTTGGCCCTTGGGGTCTTCCTCCTTTGCCACTGCGAAATGTTGCTGTACCGGCATGGCTCCCAGTCCCACCTTCGACACATCCATGCTGGTCGAAATCCGGTGCAACAAGCACAGGTCTTGAAGCCCCTGCCCTCTTCAGACAATCGGAGGCTACCTGGCACTCTGACATCCCCTGGATGTCCTCAGCTCGCCTCTTTCGGGTGAAGCCTGTTTTCTGTTAGTGGCTTCATTTTCTCAACTGGGGAAAAGATAGGCAGTTTCTTCCATGCCTCCAGAATAGCTATGGCTCAAGGGTCATAGACTGTCATTTGGGTAAAGACTGCGGTGAAGTATTTCTGCCTTTTCTTTGTCATCTGTTATCATTTCCCCATCCCCACTGAGTAGCTGAGCTGCTGCTTCTTTTCTCTGTCTTTTGCTACACACGTAACTGAACATTTTTGTTGTTGCTTTTAGCATCTCTTGCTAACCTCAGCTCATTCCCAGCTTTTGCCTTCCTAACACTATCCCTGCAATTCTTTGCTACTCTTAGCAATCAGAAGACCCAAAACATGGCACCAAGCAGCTCCCACCCTCTTGGTGAGGGGGTCTTAACCATGTACAGCCCCATCCTCTCATCCAGACTGCAAGAACTGAAAGCAGGGGCAGATTGTTTGACATAGCCTGCTTCCCTCCTCCCTCTCAGACCTTTGGTACTGAAGAGAATAAGAAGGGGTTGGGACCAATGAAGTTCCTGACATTGCAACAGCCACCTCAGTCTACTGCCACCATGTCTCCCCACTTCCGATTGTGAAAAACCTCTAAACCCACCTGGTAATCCACTTTCTGCCGCCCCTTCAAGACTCACCAGCTTCCCTTTAATCTAGAGTGACCCAAGTGTTCTTGGACTGCAACTCCTGCCCAAGACTCACCAGCTTCCCTTTAAGCTAGAGTGGCCCAAGTGTTCTTGGACTGCAACTCCTAGCAACCCTGGCCAGCACAGTTGGTGGTAAAGGCTTCTGGGAATTGCAGTCCAAGAACACCTGGGTTAATCGAAAGGCTGACAGGGCAGCTGGAGTTCTGACACATAGGCACAGAATAGAAAAGCAGCCCAGCCGTTCCCATCCCACCATGTCAACCAAAGCCACCTCTCACCAATCAAACAGGAGCCAATTGATGAAGAAAATAAAGTTGAGAGGAGATGGAATGGACCCTCGCATTAAGGACTGTGGAGGGCTGTTGATGCTTGCCAGGAAGCTCTCACACATGTTTGTCCAAATGCCAGTCCATAAGGTATACTTCTGTTTCACCTCCCTATGCTTCCCTAGCCCTTTTCTGCCTTTATGCAATTTTTTATGTACCCAGATGTCCTTGATTGTACCCTTGAGGTTACACATAGTACACAGCATTAAATGGAAGTCATTTTTAAAACTATTTCCAGCTAGGACTGTAAATAAGTTTATTGAACGTCAGTAGCATATTAATAACTACCCAGAGAATGAAGTGTGAGAGTTAATACACTAGAGAGCTACTCTTTGCAAACTCTTAGAACTGGGATACCTGTAACAGTTTTCAATCTCTGCTGAGTTTTATGTGCATTGAAGTCACAAGGTGAAATATTTTAGAGCTGTTTGGGGGGGCTTTGTAATTTTTACATCCTCTGTGTTGTGTTTGTTTTTGAGTCTACGTTGTAGTTTTGCTGGTCACAGTAGTGCCCATTCTTGGCTTCTGACAGGTTGAGGAGGAGGAAATTATGTAAGGGAACCTGCTCTGGAGTCGCATCATAGCTGGAGCCCTGCATCTAGAATTCTGGTTGTATCTCTGAATGTATTCTGTCTCATAGGTTTTTTTTCTTGGTTTGTGGTAGGTTGTTTCCCTCCTGGATGCCCGCCCATCCTTCCACTCTTTGGTGTCACTGTCGTCAAGTGTACCTGCCCATGGCCTACTGCTATGCTGCACGTCTGACTGCAGCAGAAGATGATGAGCTTGTTTTGAGCCTCCGACAGGTAGCTCCATAAAGTCCGTTTTTATTTTGCTCCACTCTGCTATTTGCAAGCTTGCTGCAGTTCTGCATATGCTACGTTAGAGTCCTGGGAAACAAGGAATCTTAAGGTTTTGCTTAAGAGTCAGAAGTAAAAATATAAAGTCAGCATTGTGAAAAATCATTTGTTACTTCACCTAGTCATGGTCTATGTTGTGGTTGCCTGTATTCCTACAACTATGCTGGTACTTATAAATTACAAGGTGAAAATTGTAAATTAGTTTGTGTCCTCCACCCCCCTAGGGTTAAAAAATGCAAATGTTGTATCAGAATTTTGTGTGGTAATTCCCCCACCCCATCCCATTTCAAGCGGTGCCTCAGTTGTGAGTGATCCTGGGTGGAGTGCTCTTGCTGAGTAGCTATATGGTTATTAGATGCCAGGATTGGAATGTTGTGGGGTGAGTGTTGAGATACGACTGTCTTAAGAGAGACATTAACAAGTAAGAGAAGAGAGCTGAAGCGGGTTAAAAGTCTGTTTGAGAGTAGTAGTCTGCAGCAAATCTTATGAAGAGATGTCTGTCTGCAGTAGTTAAAGCGTGTGTGTGTGTCAAGAAAAATAAAATACCTGTAATTATTTATTTGAACTTATTTTGAAGTTTAATTTCTGAAGAAATATATTTAGATTTTGTTGTGAAGTTTAATTTCATTTACCTCGAAGAGACTACTTTTCCCTTCATATGTATTACCTATTGTCCCTAAATAAAAATCCTGGTTGATTCTTTAATACAATCTCTACCCATTATTTGTTTTACATGGAACTAAGAATAGGGAGCCCAGACTACTAATGAAGAAGATACAGTCACTTTATGTGAAGCTGCACTTCACCACTAGGAACACAGAGGGTTTTTTTAGATTTATTTCACAGAACACCTGAGTTATCTGGGCTACCAGCTCAAAGCAGAAGAGGCTGTGGCTAGGAACAGTATAAAACAAACAACCCCAAAATACTAAGTACAGGTTTGCGGGACGGGGGGTTGTTGTTCCAGTTTAATGCCTTCCCTAGTGACACCAAGGAGCTAAGATTTTAGACATTAGAAAGTGTTCAGCCATGGAAATTCATGGGATAGAACTGGTCAAATATTTCATTTACCTTGAAAACCCTATAAGGGTCATTGTAAGATGGTTCCAACTTGATTGCTCATAACATGACAGTTATATCAAGATCTAGTCTAAAACTGAGCCTGTGCAGACTCTGTTTCCAGCATTTGTTTCTAGTCATACTTCTGCTACATAAAATCCTATGGTTTTTCCTAGGAGCTGTATGTGCAAGACTACTCCAGTATTGACTGGCCAGCACAGAGAAATAATGTGGCTGCAGAAGATGTATACACACCACATAGCTGGCTGCTTACAATTATCTATGGTGAGTTTATGGTCCTGGAAGTGAGATTGATCACTGTTACTCATAATAGGTTTTTCTGTAACTGTCACGTAGAGAGAAAGAATTTACAATAACCAATCCAAAGAAATAGTGAACAATTAAAGAGGGGAAATAAGAGACATATTCCACAACATCCATGAAATTAAAGGGAAATTTAAGCCTAGGTTAGGAATGTTAAATGACCAACAGGGAAATGCACTGTCTGACCAACATAAAATACAGTTAACCCTCGACTTATGAACTTAATCCATTCCTGCACTGTAAGTCAACCCTCGATTTACGAACTTAATCCGTTCCGGAAGTCTGTTTGTAAGTTGAAACGTTCATAGGTTGAAACCAAATTTCCCATAGGAATGGATTGAAAATTAATGCGTTCCTGTGGGGGGAAAAGGTCAGAAACTTAAAAATAAATAAAAGAAAGTCACTTACCCCGTACTGTAGACTGAGCTCCTCACAGTGCCTTGGTAGCCTCCAAACTGCAGGAAAAAGAGCACCAAACAGCTAAAAGCTGGCACCCAACAGGGAGCCTGACAGCCATTTTGTGCTCTTCTCAACTCCTGCCCTCCCTACCCGCCTAACAGCTGATCGGCTGGCTCTTAAGAGGCTTCCGGAGGCTTGCTCAGCACCTAAAATGGCAGGGGAATACAGCTGGAAATTAAAAAATGCTGACTGTAAAGGGAAGTGGAATCAGTACACTAAAAGATCTATACAGAAGAGATTAATGGGTGACAGATTATTTTGAAGAGGAATCCTATAATGAAGAACTTGCAGTTCTAGAAAGTGAAATGAAAGCTGATCTGAAAGCATTAGGTAGAATTAAATCACCAGAGTAAATGGAATACTGATAAAAACCTCAAGCCTGCATCTGTCAAAATCCTGACAAGAATATGCCAACAAATATGGGAAACAACAATGACCCACAGACTAAAAATGGAAAGCCTCAGAAAGGTTCTGGAAGCTGGCAATTTCACCCCCCGCTGACCCCGTGGGGAGGAGCCTTCAAAGGGTCCTGGAAGGCACTCTCGGACCCTTCTGAGGCTCCCTCCACCCCCACGGGCCCAGCGGGCTGAAATTGCCAGAATATTTTTCCTGCTTTCCTCCCCTAAAAATTAAGTGCGTCTAATGGAGAGGCGCATCTTATGGAGTGAAAAATACGGTAGTTCAACTGGAATACCATCACCTCCACTGGCCTTGTTGTTAGCCATGCTTTCCAAGGCCCACTTGACTTCACTTTCCAGGATTTCTACCTCAAGGTCAGCCACCACACTATCTGGGTTGTCCAGGACATCCAAATCTTTCTGGTATACAGTAATTCCTCTGTGTATTCTTGCCACCTCTTCTAGATGTCTTCTGCTTCTGTGAGGTCCCTCCCATTTTTGTCCATCTTTGCACAAAATGTTTAATATCTCCAGTTTTCTTGAACAAATCTCTGGTTTTTCCCTTTCTATTGTTTTCCTCTATATCTTTGCACTGTTCATTTAAGAAGGGCCTCTTGTCTGTCTTTGCTATTCTTTGCAAGTTTGCATTCAATTTCCTGTAACTTTCCCTATTTCCCTTGCATTTTGCTTCTCTTTTCTTCTTGGCTATTTGTAAGGCCTCGTTGAACAGCCACTTTGCTTTCTTGCATTTCCTTTTCTTTGGGATGGTTTTTGTTGCTGCCTCCTGTCCATAATTGTTCAGGCACTCTGTCCAACAAATATAGTCCCTTAAATCTGTTCTTCACTTCCACTGTGTATTCATA